TATAAAATGACGACTCTTCGTTTGAAGTAAATAGCTTTCCAGATAATTGTCTTTATTATGATTTAGGTTTAACTGCTACTGTAAATAAAGAGCACTTTTAAGGACTTGTACACCTTTAAACTGAACTAGGCTACTTAAAAAAAAAGTAAGAAGGAACTACTCAGTGAAACAACTAGATCCTTTTTCCCTTGCTTAGTGGTAGGTCACAAGTTTGTATCACATCTGTGTACTAAAAGACATCCTTGACAGGAGCAGTACATTTAAGGTTCCTGGCTTGAAAGGGCGCATAATCTTTCTGGAGAGTAAGAGAAAGATGATCCATGTTGTCATTCTACCTAGAGGAACGTTCCCCTGTTTATCTCCTCCCCCATCTCCTTTATGGGTGTTCAGGATGAAATCCTTGATTTCACTCATCATGTTCATTTCTTGGTTCATAATCATATTGGTCTAGTAATCGACCTAGTCCTAAATTGTTGGTAGTTTCTACCTGAAATAATGCATTATTCTTTTGAATATACAGACTTACAGTAGACTTAATAGGGCCTAACGCCTGATAACCAAGGTGTGAATAATCTGACCTTCAGGTAGTACTATGTCCTAAGTAATACAACTCCAGTGACCTTTTTTTTTTTTAATTTTGGCTTGGCAGTAGGGTTAAGTGACTTGCCCAGGGTCACAGCTAGTAAGTGTTGTGTATCTGAGGCTGGATTTGAACTCAGGTCTTCCTGAATCCAGAGCTGGTGCTCTATCCACTTTGCCACCTAGCTGTCCCATGGGTTTTTTTTTTAAAGTATCAGAGTTTCAAAGCCAGCTCACATAGTGAAAATCAGTTTTGTGCAAGGTTCTGTGTTTGGTGCTGTAGGAGATAAGTACTTTACCCTCAGAAAGCTTACAAATCAGTTGGGTAGGTAGATGACACATTAAATGAGAAAAGCAACCAAACAAAAAAGAAATAACACTACAAACAAACAATAGAACCATCACCGGGAATATGAGATTATTACATGGATAATTAGAGAGAGAGGGGTCAGTTCTAACTGGGGAAATCAGGGAGGGCCGTATACATGAGGAAGAGGGGGTCAAAGTTGGGAGACAGGTGGTCAGTTGTCGTCGACAGAAAAATAAATGGGATGGGAGAGAACTAGTTTGAAGTTTTTTAGAAATGAAGACGTATTTAGTTTGAGGAGGAAGTCCAGTTGGGAAAGGTGGGATCAGGGGCTCCAGAGAGGAGTCATCTGGCTGGATGGTGGTGCTATGGAGGGGATTGTTGGAGCTCTGAGTGTAGGGGAGAGAGTAAAGCAGAGAGCCTAGCTTTACACCTTGGTGAGCTTCTGCATTTGAAGGGTTGCCAGAAGAGATGGAAGGAGCACAGTCTACTAGGAGAACTAGGAAATATCGCTGAAGGAAAGGAGTAGTCTTAAGGTTTTAATGTTGGAGAAAGTTAACAAGAATGAAGACAAAGGAAAGACTAGTAGATTTGGAGGTTTAGAAAGTCATTGTTAAATAGGACAGGGATAGGGACTGGAGCAAACGTTTACTGGCTTAGAACATTCTTAACCATACCAGGACAGTAGCTTCTGGGCAACTTAGTTGCCTAGAACTCTGAGGCTAAGTGACTTGTCCAGGGTCACATAGCTGGTAGGGGTCAGGTAGGATTTGAACCCACTTCTCATCTTTCTGTCTCCTATATCATGCTCTCTCCATTATGGGATAGATTATATTTATGTAGCACTTTTCTCCTGGAACTCAGTTTATCTCAGTTGTCCAATTTAGCCTCAGTGAAGAGCAGCCTTTTTAAAATTTAATTTAATTTAATTTTTTTAGGCAATTGGGGTTAAGTGAGTTGCCCAGGGTCACACAACTAGTAAGTGTCAAGTGTTTGGTCTGAGGTCAGATTTGAACTCTCATCCTCCTGACTTCGGGGCTGGTGCTCAATCCACTGCGCCACCTAGCTGCCCCAACAACCTTTATTTTAGAGAGAGGTAAACTGATCTCTGAAGAAGTTAAATGAGTTAACCAAGGATGCTATCAGTGGCAGAGCCAGGGACAGATTCTCGAGTTCTGTGTATATTAATTTCCAAAAGGGAGATGACTACGTTAACCTGAAATCCGTTGGCCAATGTGCCTTGAACTGAGAGTTGATTATGCACATGTTTTTTCAGTTAGCTTTGATCCTAGCTAGGCTGCTGACAGCATTGATACAGAAGGATTGGAGGTGAAGGTGAGTGTATGTGTATTGACTAGTGTTCAAAACCTGAAAATAAAATTATTTTCTGTTTTGAGTGATTTGTGCTGCTGCTCCCCATCATCAGCGCAGATAATTAAGAGTCAGTGGCTTCGGTGGGTGCAGATTTAGTCCTGTGTTTACATGATCAATCATTATGTGCCTACCATGTGCCAGACACATTGCTTGGTGTATACAGATTAAAGAAATGAGAATTTCCCATCTGAGAGTTAAGATAACACATGCCTAGGGATAGGGACTGGACTTTTGATTTCACCGGGGTTTGGAGTTCCCAGGGTGAGGACCTTCCTCTACCATGCTGCTTGGTACCTGCTCCGCACCTTAGTCTCAGCACCTGGAGCAGTGAGGCAGTTAGTGACTTGATCAGGGTCATGTGGCCACTTTGGCAGCGGTGAGGTCTCAACATGGAGGAGTATGGAATAGAATCCAGGCGAGGGAGTTAGGGGAGGCAGAAACTGAGGGAATCGGGAGAGATTTGCCATAGAAAGTGGAGCTTGAGCAGAGGCTTGAAAGGAGGGAAGGATTCCACGAGGCAGAAGGTAGAGGCACCTCATAGGTGTGGGGGATGGCCAGGGCGCAGGGATGGAGGTGGACCTGGACCTCGGTGATTGTAGAACATCCACTCGTCTGTAGAGATGGGCGCGATGCTCTTTCCTCTGGAGAGAGGTTTTTTCAACAGTTACTCCCTGCTCCAACTTTCTTCTCCTTAGGCTTGTTCTGATTTCATCCTTGACCACTTAGTTGAGCTGTGGTCATCAGTGTTATGGCCTAACGAGCTGTTAGACTTTTTCACATTTTATAACATTTAATTTAATGTCCTTAGACAATTGTCTTTTTCTTTGTTGACCTGACATAAGTTCCTCTTTGTAGAGTGTTATGGTACCCGAACCAAGTAAAGGGATGTTGTGTGTGTGTGTGTGTGTGTGTGTGTGTGTGTGTGTGAGAGAGATACTTTTAAGTACTGAAAAAAAATTTTTAACCCCATTCGTTTTGCTCACCAACAAATTGAAGATGACTTTTTTTTTTTATCCTGAAAGAGAGTCTTCATGAAGTAATCATATAGAGAGTCATAGAATTTTGTAGCTGGAAGAACCATGTAACATGTGACCAGAATGGAAATTAAATGCAAAAGTAATGCATTGTGTACACATTCTCCAGTAGATATATTTAAAGGAGTTACAAATCAGTCCCTCTTATATTTGAATTTTATTTTATCTTGACCATGTTATAGGTAGTAACTATCACAGACACTTTTACTTTACACTTAAGGAAAGCAAATACTTGATAAATGATGATTTATGAACACCAAAATAAATTTCAGTTAACCAGAACCCAACTAATCTGAATCCTCACTCCACAAATTTTGTTATAATCCATTTTTAATAGTGAGAAACTATAAGAAAATAAACTTTTATTTTGAGACATTTGTATAGTCTTGTACAGCTGATGTTCAAAATCCCTTTCTTCCAGAAAGACAAAGGTATTCAGTCGGAGTATTTTATTTATTTACTGTATTCTCAAGGTAGGGAAGTTTACTAATATGTATTAGGTTTCTAACTCAAAACTTCAGTTAAACAGGGAAATTAATCAGAGTGCCTGAGCCTTGGTTGCTTTACTTCCTGACTAATAACTTCTTAAAAAGTGATAGCTATTAGAGTAACTCTTGTGTATTTTTGCAGATAAAGAAATCGTTGTTTTGCCCTTAGTTGCTCATTTCCGTAAAATTCTAGAGCTGAGATTAAAAAAAACCCTTAACCTAATTCAGTATAAGCCTTTTCTTGATTTCTCTCATAAAACTGTTGTGCCTCAATTTCCTAATCTGTAACATTAGAGCTAATAACTGATGTACTCTAGAAATCAGCACACATTTTATAGTATTAAGCAGGGGTCATTAAACTACACTGAGGTCCCCCCACCTGTTTTTGTATAGCCCCGAGCTAAGAATGAGTTTTACATTTTAAAATACGTGACACTTTATTTATAGATGTTAAAAACTGTTCTTGACACTACAGCAACAGGCAGTGAGCTTGATTTGGCCCTGGGCTTCAGTTTGTTGACCCCTGGTAGCGTGTCAAAGTTTTAAAATTCTTATGTTAAACTAAGGGAGCTAGTAGAAATGTGAGATTTTTACAGATTTTGCTGTGACTTAACTTGCATTATTTTAAGTGATTCTGGGTGCCAGAAGGATATACTTTGTACCTAAAGTTTTTTAGATTAGCTTGAAAAAGCGAATTTATTTTTTCCATTTTAAAAGTTGGGGTATATAATTTTGTACTTTGAGAGTGGTGGTAGAGGGTGGTTGTGGGAAGTACTGGCTTTTCATCCCGTGCATCCCCCTTTGCTGGTGCTCAGCTCTGGTCTACAGTTTTTCATTAGGAGTAATAGAATCACATTTTGCTGGTGAAAAGCATTGTTTATAAGGATCACTCTTCCTGGATGCTTATACTTTTGAAGCCAGATAGAAAATTCATTCTACAAGATCTCTTTGGGCTTTAATTTGGTTGGTTGTGTGTTGGAGAGGAGGATACTTTATTTCATTTAGAGTGTACATTTAAAAAATACGATATTCATGTAGTGATGGTAGTTACAATTAAATGTCACCTTTTCTTTATGCTGTCTGCCCTTCAAGGAATATATAGCTCTGTTTCTGCAATCCCAGTAAATTTAGTTTATTCTATTAAAAAAATCTTTTTTAAAGAAGGGAGTATCAAATGACTGGTTAAACATTTTTTTTTCCTCCTGGGTTTCTTTTTAGGCACTACTGACAATCAAAAATGTAAAACGGGCTTTGGAATCTGGTTGTATTAACCAGCAGCTAAAAAGATGAGTTCTCATGGGCAGACTTCTGGCATGGACACTTGTCCTCCTGTTTCTGTAGAAAATAGAAACTGGGTTGGAAGTCAGAGCTGCACAAAGGGAAGGGTAAGTTTCCTTTAAATTCCATATTTTAAAACCCCCAACCTTATTGATGGTGGCATAATGTCAGTTTGAACCCAGGAGTGTACAACAGCTCAAAACTCAAGCTGTTATTGAGGTGCGCTGCCGATTTTCACTGCAGTGGAAACTGACATCAGGTCCCCCAATGAAATGGAAGGGTTTAAATATGGATACACTTTTCTAGGGACCCTGGCTCCCCATTTCTGGAGGAGCAGGGTTAGAAGAGCTCGATATGAGAACTACCTTCAGTCCCACCTGCCCTCTGGGACATGTGGATTTTGACTTTATAGCTTAGCCTGTTGCACTTCTATGATAAAAAATGAAATTAGGAATATAAAATGAATATGTACGACACATAAAAAAGTTGTGTGGATGACGCTCTGCTGGGCACAGTGAAATCATGCCTCTTTTTGCAAAATAACAAGAGCAGTATAGCTGGCTGATAATTAGTCTGTCTTCTGTGTCTTAGTTTCATAGGTTATAGTTTTCTGTTTGGGGACATAACATTTGATCTCCTTTAGGCAGTTGCCCCTTTTTTCATACAGCCTAAGTTCCCTGCCAGAGTGAGTCATTTCATTGCTATGGTATTTCACGGCTGTGTTCCACCCAGAGTGTGAGAAAAACCTCCTTTTACCAGCTTTACAAATTGTTTTATCAGTTGCTCCTAGTCACCTTGGAACAGCTGGTGTCCTCTCGCTAATTACTAGTTACACTTTGATTTATTCTTATTTCAGAATTCTTCATTTTTGTGATATCACTGGTCATGGTATGTGAAGATTAAGATATAGACTCTTGCCTTCCCAGAGAATGTTATTTTCTATAGTTGTGAGCTAACTTGGGAAATTTTTATTTTTTTAGCAGGGCTGTATAAAACTATTCTTAGGAGCAGCACAAGTAAAACAGGAAGCTTTCCCACTCAGGCAGGAAACATACATTTTAAAACTCTTAACAAGTGAGATTTTGAGATCTTTCAGAGTTCTTTGGTACCCTTTTTATCCCAAAAGGCAGACTTGTCTACAGTTTGGGCTGATCTTGAACTGTCAGTATGAAATTGGTTTCGTATAAAAGTGTCACTCTCCTGTTTTTTTTCATACCTTCACAGAATGTTCTCTTGGGCACTCAAAACCTGGCAGAATTTGGCTTTAGCCTCCCTCTCCAGGCTCAGAACCCATGATTCCATCTTTTACACAGTCTATTGTCCAAAGTGGCTTCCTTGCTTTGCTACATACACAGCATTCCATCTCTGGCCTACATGCTTTTGTGCGGGCTGTAGCCAGCCCTGGAATGCTGTTTTCTCACACTCTTCTTAACCCCTTGCAAACTAGCTTCTGACCTCATCGTCCCACAAAAACTGCTCTTTGCAAAGTTAACAGTGACCTGAGTTGCTAAATCCAGTGGCCTTTTCTCAGTCTTCATTCTTCTTGTCCTTTCTGCAGTCTTTGACACTCTCTTCTAGGATTTTCTCTCCTCTGAGTTTTCAGGACTCCATTCTTGTACCTATCTGATCATACCATCTCTGTCTCCTTTGCTGGGTCTTCCTCCAGGTCACACCCTCTAACCATAGGTGTCCCTCAGGGCTCTGTCCTGGGCACTATATCACTTGGTGATCTCATCAGCTCCCATGGATTTAATTATCATCTCTATGCTGATGATTCTCAAACCTATCAGTCTTTCCCTGACCTCCCTGTCAATCTCCAATCTTGCATCGCCAGTTGTGTTTCAGACAGCACGAACTGGATGTCTAGTCTGTTGACAAGGCCTGTCAGTTTCGCCTTTGTGGCATGTCTCAAATTTGGCCCCTTCTCTCCTCTGACATTGACCCATTCAGTTCTTCATCACCTCACTTGAGGGCATAGGCCCAGCAATTGAGTCTATGGGGTGGACATATATTTGTATGTGTGTATGTGTGAAATTACAGATTGCTTTCCAGAATGGTCTGACCAATTCAAAACTTCCACCAATACCGATGTGTTCATCTTTCCATAGCGCTTCCAACAATAATGACTCCCATCTTTTGTCATATCTGCCCATTTACTGGGAGGTAGAAACTCACAGTTGTTTTGATGTGCATCTTTTATCAGTGATCTTTTAGCATCCTTTTATATGATTGCTAACTCTTTACAGTTTTTCTTTTAAGAACTCTTTGTTCATAATCTTAGACCACTTACCTTTTGGAGTGAATTGCCTTTGGTTTTATATGTTTCTGTTGGTTAGCCATCCTTGGACATCGGTCCCTTATCAGATCCTGTTTGACTACTTTTAAAAAACAATTTTATTTTAAAATAAGATTTTTTTGTTATCATTTGTTTTAATGTCCCCTAGATTTCCCTCTGTGTTCCTTCCTTCCGTACTCTTAGAGAGCCATCCTTTATAGTAAAAGAATCCTTTCAAAGAAAAAATAGGAAAAGAAAAGAAATTCCACAAAACTGATTGGAAAATCTGACATGCAACGTTTCATACTCATGGACTGTTTTCCCCCATCTTTCCAGAGATGGGGACAAAGGTATCTTTTCATGTATCTTCTTTGGGGCCAGACTTTCCTTGTAATTTTGCAATATTTATTTTCCCTTCTTTATAAATACATTTATATTTATACCTTTTTTTTTTTTGCTTTTTGGTGAGGTAGTCAGGGGTTAAGTGACTTGCCCAGGGTCACACAGCTAGTAAGTGTCAAGTGTCTGAGGCTGGATTTGAACTCAGGTCTTCCTGACCCCAAGGCCAGAGCTCTATCTACTGCACCATCTAGCTGCCCCTTATAACTTGTATTTTTAAATTTCTCCTGTATCTCCTCTCTTCCACTCCGGAGAACCATCCCATATAACAAAATATTTTTTTAATAAAAATGAGAAAATGAGCAAAGCCAACTGATAACATCAAAATAATCCGCAAACATAGGTAGTATTTCATATCCTGGGCCCCAGTGCATGGAGGAAGCAGGATATCTTCTCATGTTCTCTGGGGCCATGGTGGTTTTGTGATGGTACTTTCCATTGTCATTGTGTGTGTTTTCTTGGCTCTGCTTGCTTCATTCTGCCTCAGGTTTTCATTATATTTGTCATCTTACAGCTTATTGCATTCACATACCACACTTGGTTGAGCTGTTTTACAGACAGTAAGCATCCACTCTGTCTCCAGTTCCTACCACAAAAGGTGTTTCTGGTGTTATGTGGAGCCTTTCTTTTTGTCAGTGACCTTTTGGGGAAGGTCCCTAACAGGGGGACCTCCAAATCTAGGGGAAAGCCTCTAAATAATTCCAAATTGCTGTCCACAGTGGCTGTGCTAATAACAGCTTCAGAACAGGGCCAGTGTGGTTATCTCTCCATGACCACTCCAGCAGTTTTCTTCTGTTTCCACCTGTAATCTCTTTGCCAATTTGAGACCTATGGGTTGTACTGATAAACATTCCTCTTATTAGTGCTTTGGGATTTTTTCACTTGGTTATTTGCAATTTTTCTACTGAGAGCTTTTATTTAATGTTTTTGACCATTTCTCTGTTGGGGAATGGCTTTTGTTTTTTTCATTTCTGTGAGTTGTCTATGGGTAGGACAATAGGAGACAAATTCACAGCCAAACAGGAAACAGAGGTAATTACAAAAGCCAACATTGATAATATTTGTTACATGGCATTGAAGAGCATTTGCACAAACAGAATTCATATATCTAGGATTAGAAGGGAAGCAGTTGACTAGGGTAAAAGAAACCTATTTTACTAGATAAATCTGAAAAGGGTTTGGTATTTGTGTGTGTGTGTGTGTGTGTGTGTGTGTGTGTGTGTGTGTACATATCATCTATCTTCTTAACCCATCTTGTATTTATGCAAAAGTTTTTAAAATTTAATTTATTTTAGCCAGAATTATCTACTTTGTTTTTTCTTTTTTGGTCAAAAAAAAAATCACGACCCCCCCAACAGTAGCAGTCAAAGATATTAAACCTGCCTTTTTCTGTTTCTGCAAGTTCTAACTCCACTAAATTTTATTTCATTAGTTTCACTACAAAGTTGACATCTTTTTGAATCTTGGCATTAAACAATGCACGTATTAGTAGGTCATTTTAGGTAATACTAGCTAAGCTCAGAATTTTCAGGTAAAATTAACATCAATCAGCAGCTATTTATTAAGTTCCTGCTGTGTGTCAGGCATTGTGCTAAGTGCTAGGGATACAAAAAAGACAAAACTTGATCCTTGCCCACAAGGAGTTCACATCTAATGAACATATTGTGCCTATAAGATGTGTACAGTGTAAATGGAAGGCATTTTCAGAGGTAAGGCATTACTGGGGAGGGGGCCATTTGAGAATCATTCCTAGTGCTTTAAACTGGATAGTTAGGGTATAACAAATATTACAGATCAATGGGGTACCTGACCCATTTGCAGATCTGAGTATCAATATAGAAATGAATTAATGAGCCCTTGCTGAAGGTAGAATAATATTCAGAGCTATTTAAAACCGTTTTAACTGAATGAAAATTTATTAAGGTATTTATTAAGCACCTACTGTGTGCCAGCCACCTACCACGTGGGTGATGGCAAGATCTAGCGTATGACCGTCTTTGTGTGTGACCGAGGTGGGGTGGAAGAAAACGGGAAGCGAGCAGGTTGAGGAACTAAGTGGTCCATGGTGTTTGAGAGAAGAGGGGAGGGTGGGGAAAGGAATAAGCATTTTTGTAGGCCCTGCTGTGTGCCAGACATTGTGCTAAGCACTTTACAAATAAGTAATTTGATCCTTCCAACAATATGATTTTATACACACACACACACACACACACACACACACACACACAAACACACAATGCTATGTACAGGATTAAGTAAGAAGTCATTGAAAGAGGGAAGGTGGTAGAATAAAGAGGGCTTGGGAAAGGCTTCCTGTAGGAAATAGGATTTTAGTTGGGTCACCAGGCATGAGGCACAGCCGAAGAGAATGCCCCATCCTAGAGATAGAGGCTCTTGTTCATGGAATAGCCAGGAGGCCATTGTCACTGGATC